TATGAAATCAAAAGGGCAACATTTACTAAAAAAAAAAAATGTTCAGAAGACAGGAATGATCAGGGCAAATGGGAAATTACCTGGGGAGTGGGAGGAAGAGTGCTGTTACACAGAAGTTATTGCTGCCAGTGTAACCAAAAACTGTGGATAAATTATTGAGTGGTAAAATAATATATTCTATAAACTTTCAATTAAATGATTTTTAAAAATATTACATAACAAGTCAAAGACAGACAAAAATTCCTAACTCAATCTCTGGGCTCTAAATGAGTATTTTTGCTATTATACTATAATGCTGCAATGAAGTTACTTTTTCAAATTCCTTCAAATAACTTTTTTAATCCACTAAATGTATTTTTAATAGACATGGTATATTTATACTGGAAGAAATATTCTAATAAAACTCTATTGTTAATTCAACTATTATACTAAAGATAAAATGGAAAAGTAAAGGCTTTATTTGTATCTGTTATATACATGTTACATAGATATATAGCCTCTTTATGTTTTAAAAACACAAACTCTGCTCATTCATTATCTGCATGCATCTAGCAAAAAATTGAATGCAAAGGTTAAAGAATCCAATTGACAGTCTATGTGATACAGATGCATTGCGATCTTCGGTCATCTAGTCCATTCTATTCTCTCAATTATTACTCTTTAAAATTCTCTGAAAAGTATCAATTCCAGAAGCTTGAGATTAAGCATGATAGTGTATTTTAAGATCCCATTTTAAAATTGTCTGCTTGGTCTCCTCAAGGAAATGATATTATTTTAAAGATAGTAATAATGTTAAAAATTGTTTTATTATATTGTACAAAAGCTCCTTTGTATATAGTTACCTTATGAACAATAAAGTCACTTAAAGACGCCCTATTAAAAGTGAACCCCTCAAAAGATTTAAACATACCCTTTTAAAAGCCATTCATTGATGGGTGTGATTGATAAAAGCTGGAGAAAAAGCCATATTGTTGCTGGGAAGAATGCAAGTGTAAAGATCTGAATAAAAAGATGCAGTTTTATATGCATTAAAGCACTGGTCAGCTCCTGGAAAAATGAAGGACACAGAATAACAAATATAAGAATATTTCTGAATAGAAATTGTCACTAATATAATAGCAAATAAATTAGTTTAATGTAGTTATTCTATAACCAAATATTTCATCTGGTGCATATGGCTACGAGATAGAACTTTAAAGATAAAGTCACTTATAATAATTAGATAACTACTTTTATTTAAAACTTTAGAAAATTTTAATTTAAATATAGAACATATCTCAGGAGTTCAGACTCATAAGATTCTGGATGAGGACTATACTATCTTTATACTAGTATCAATTTGAGAATTGTTAACACTGTGAACAATATATATGCCTATCAGCATTTAAAATAACCTTTAAAAACTTTAGCAGGACAAATTACATTTTAATGCAATATAATTCATTTCTATTCAGTAAACAAAGAGTCTGAGCAGCATAATATGTAACATGTTGTACTGCTAACCAAAAGCTCAGGAGTTCAAATCCACCAGCTGCTCCTCAAGAGACAGAAGGGTAGTCTACTTCTGTAAAGGTTCAATGCTTCAGAAGCCCAATGGAGTGGTGTTATGAGTCTGAATCAAATCAACATTGGATTTGATTTCTTCACTAAAGCTACTCTATCAAGGCCTCAATCTGGAAAGAAAATACTAACTCTTAAAAAAGCAAAATGGCTCTTCTCCCAAAATGACTCTAAGATTTGTTTTTAACATTTACTTAACATCAGCTATATGATTGGCTCTGAGTTTGGCGCTTTATGTATGTTATCTAATATAACTCTCACAATAAACTCATTAGACAAATATTATTATTCTTACTTCACTGATAAGAAAATTGAAAGCTAAGAGCCACTACAATTAAATTCAGAATCAAACCCTCTTCTAGCATGTTCTCAAACTCACTCCTGCATTTTCCATTATATCCCACAGCTAACTTTGAGAGGGAAAAAGAAGTAAACTTTAAATATGACAAACCAAGTACATTTTAGAAGTCTTACAGTTAATATATAT